TGTAAAGCTGCTAAAATCGACCAAAGGAAGCATTTATTGTCAGCATTTTTAATATTTAAAACTGCATGTTTTGATTGAATACTTTTTGGTGTAGGGATATATGACTTTGGAGTTAGGGGCTTATACTTGTAAACATGCAGCTGCCAATATTTAGTATGGTCATATATCCATCCACTGCCTTGGGCTTGATATTTGTGTATGGAAGCATCAATCTTTAAAAGTGCATTTTCAATTTGAGGCTTTAAATCTCTCTTCTCAATAGTTAAGGTAGTAAGGCTTCTAAAATCTGCAATACATTCTTTTTCATTGACTAATTTTCCATTTTGATCCATTGAATATTTTATAAATTTGATTCTCCTAACTAACGTCCATTTTATCGGAAGAGGACAAGACTGAAGAGTATTTTTAAGGTCAGCTCTAATCGATTCACCAACAAATTTAATCATTGTATATGGACATTTGATGCAAGAATTGGCGTGTCTTTTAAAATGTCCAACAACATTCGTTTTACAGAAATTACAAGTCTTATGATTTTGTAATATATGTGATTTTAAAGCCACTTTATTATCACAGATTAAATTGCAAACCTTGCACAGTTTCACCTTCATTTGATGAATTACCTTGTAGTGGCGAATCAGGTTACTTTTGGTGGAGAGCAACACAGAGCAGTGTTGACAGGTGGGCCTCATGGTCCAGAATGAAATAATACCCGAATGTCACTTCTATTTATAGAATTTTCGAAAATTTCAAAATTTTTAAAATTTTAAAAATTTAGATTAGAAATTAAGAATTACTTCAACAGGAGGTCACCCACCCAGGACTAGACCAGTAGAGACGAGAAGCCTGACCATAGGTCGGGAGCACGACCAGGAGCACGCCATGAGCCGGGAGCGCGCCCGAGTTCGCGTACAAACCTCGCACTGTCAAGTTGATGATTTTGAGAATATACATGTGAATAGATGTGGATTTGAAATAGTAATGAAGTTGTACAATGGTATTGAACATTTATATAGGGGTGTACAGGCAAAGATCAGGATTTTTGAAAAAGTGGCTAAAAAATGATCCCCATGTTATTCTTATGGGGAAAACGTGCCTAAAGTGTCGTCTCTTTGCCCTATTGCCTCTACTCTACATTTACACTTGTAAGGGTCAATAAATATAAGAAATAGCTTTTTTAGCTTAATAGCAAATATATTTATGGGGAATAAGTAAGAAATAAGGTTTGACAATTATATAGGGATATTTAGGCAAAGATCAGGATTTTTGGTTTTAGTGGCCAAAAAATGATCCCCATGTTATTCTTATGGGAAAAAACGCCCAAAGTGAGGTAAAACCGGTAGTTCTCCACTACTATGGTGTTTTTGGCCTCTAGGGACCTCAAAACGAAAAAAAAATCGGTCCCGGGTCCAGGTCTTACCATGAGTACTACGGTAATAGCTTATTCCCTATATGGGAAATTCGCTAAAACCGAAAATAAAGAAAAGAAAACCTATGTTTCTGCGAAGTATGGTTCGTTTCTCAGCACTAAATTTAAAAATATAATGAACAGCAATAAAATCACAGTTTCGTTCAAAACTGATAATAAACTAGGTTCTTTATTAAAAAATCGTCCCCAGACACCTACTGCAACCTTTGAGAAAACAGGAGTTTACCAAATCAATTGTAATGACTGCCCAAAATATTATATAGGCCAAACATCCCGTTCTTTCAACAAAAGGTTTAAAGAACATCTACCGAAAAGAACTACAGCGGCACAGACCTCGACCTTCGCAGAACATCTGATTTCTCACAACCACAATTACACTAATATTGATAATAACATGAAAATCCTACACCTCTCAAATGACCGATTTAATACAAACACCTTGGAAGAATTCGAAATATATAGGGCCGTTAAATTTGACAGCCAAAACATCATCAATGACAAGATTTCATTTCAATCAAATTACATTTACGACACTGCAATCAAGATACTAGCGCAAGGGACAGCTGTGAATGAAGTTATCAGCTGATCGGGAAATCCAGGCACGACGTCATCACTGACCACGCTGATCCTGACCGGCAGTCTAGACATAACCCCCGCCCGATCACGTAGTGTCCCGTTACCGTATTGTATCATCTTTCGTTTTTAGGCCTAAATGTTTGTTTTTATGTTCGTGTACGTGTGCGTGTTAAATGTATTTATTTATCATGAATTAACGACCTTCAAATGAAGCGAGAAGACATCTGTACTGGCCCGACGATGACTCCTTTGTGAGTCGAAACCGGTTGCAATTTAGCAACAAATTGATCACATGAATGCAGGTACAGTATTTACACCATTATTTACTACAATATCAGTTTCATGCCCTATTTAAAGATAATGTACCAGTTTAAATGCAGAGAGGGATATGCACAAAGCTATAGGATAGAATCCTATTTCTAATGTCTGTGTTTTACTCGGCTGTAGGGTTATTCACTGTCCTGAATATTGTCACCACAATTTTATTGCACTCGCTGTGGAACTATTATTGGCTAACTGTTATCTACCTTTTTGTATTCAACCTGACTTTTTCAAGTAAGGACATTTATCATGCCAGCAACAATAAAAATGAATAAATACAATTAGTGGTAAATTGTATTTTCTACTGCATAAAAAAGAGTAATTTCCATAGTGAAGAAAGAAGTCCACAAAGTACACACGAAATGTGTATACATATAAGGATATAAACACATAATTTCCACATTAAGATCCAGTATGATCAGATCTTCCAATGTGGGAACAAGATCCGATATGCTTCATTTACATGTTCCGTACCTGAATCAAATTTCGTTCTTCTCGAAGTGTTGTATCCAATCGCAATTTAGCTAATCAAATTAACTTTTCCTATAGTAACTATTGTGCTGCCTTTATAAAGTTGCCTGTGTCATATTTAAAGTGTGGACAACACTTTTTACAAATCCCCGAACTCCCTACAACCCTTACGAACACACTCCAGTCATGTCCGCCATTGGCGATGGATAGCAATAGGGGTTGAAGGACAGTGAAATCTTAATTTGTTGACAACCCCTGTAAATCTATACTTATAAAAGGCAAAGCCCTCACTTACTCACTGACTCACTGACACACTCACTCATCACTAATTCTCCCACTTCCCATTTACCTAGGAGGCTGAAATGTGGTACATTGATTCTTTAGGCATTAAATAGGAAAACTAAGTTGTTTTTATTCTGATCGGACTCTCGGGCTCCGCCCCAGTGGCTCTGGAGTTTCCCATGTTAGCCTTATGATTTTTCATATTTAAAAGGAATTAATGAATCTTAACAGCTGTTTCAATTAAACAAGTTGGTTCTGTTCTATGATGTTCAATTGCATTAAAGTTACAATGATTACCAACAGGGTGCAGCACTATTATTTATTTTAATTTATGACAACAGCTAATTTGCAACCAAAAGGTGAGTGAGCGTAGCGAACGAACTTCAACCTGGAGACGAGTTAGCGTAGCGAACGAGCTAACCTGAAGGCAAGTGAGCGCAGCGAACGAGCTCCAACCTAAAGGTGAGTGAGCGTAGCGAACGAACTTCAACCAGGACGTGATTGAGCCATGCGAACGAAATCATCTTGAAAATTAAGAAGTTAAACGGGGCAAAGCCCGCGGGTACAGCTAGTCTAAATATATAAAAGGAAAAGCCCTCACTGACTGATTGACTGACTCACTCACTCACTCATCACTAATTCTCCCACTTCCCTTTTACCTATGAGGCTGAAATTCGGTACACCGATTCTTTGGGCATTAAATAGGAAAACTAAGTAGTTTTTATTCTGATCGGGCTTTCGGGGTCCGCCCCAGTGGCTCTGGAGTTTTCCATGTTAATCTTATGATTTTTCATATTTAAAAGGAATTTCTTAACAGCTGTTTCAATTAATCAAGTTGGTTCTGTTCTATGATGTTCAATAGCATTAAAGTTACAAGGATTACCACCAGGGTGCAGCACTATTATTTTTTTTAATTTATTACTACAGCCAATTTGCAACCAAAAGGTGAGTGAGCGTAGCGAACGAACTTCAACCTGGTCAAATGAATGAAAGCTCTTAATCTCGATAATTATTAAAGATAACTTTTGCGGGTCAAAACAGAGTACATCGAGGGCATTGCCTAATGGTTTGTTCAAAGTTGTCCATGCAATTTGAAGGGATTCATTTTTTATCTTAAATTAAAATGATTTTCTAACTATACAACGGAACTGTAAGAACGGAAAATGCATTTATCAAAGTCAACAAATTTATCGTTAGAAAGGTTACCCATCCAGTCGTTTCTATTTAGGCCTAACAGTGATGTAAAATAAATAAATAATCCATATTAGGAAAAGCAAAGAGCGGAATACCAAGGTCTGGAAATGTATTTAGGGTGGAAAATTATTAGAATTAAATATCTTTCAAAGGCAAACCCCCAGCGGAAAGAAGGCCCTGACAAAGACCAAAGAATCACTGGAAGGACTAGGTGGAGAAATATTTGCCAAAATTAAGATCAGGGCAAAAGATTTATAATCTTACTTGTTGGTTACTTGTTGGCGAGGCCAAATACCACCTAGGGTATTCATGGTCATGGGAGTAAGTTAAGATGTAACATAAATAAGCAAATGTACAATCTTGCTTTCAAAAATAAAAAATATTAATACCCTTGCATCTAATTTCTTAGTACACTATAGAATAGTTTGATAACAAAGAATCTAAAGATAAAACTGTAATTTGTATTCACACCAACATGCAAATACAAAATATGCTCATTTGCATTAAAACATTCATCAGAACCAAATGCATACAAATGTAACAATTTGTTTAAGACAATTTTTAGTAAACTACTCGCTGAGTTAAGCATTAGTCCAAGTTATGAAAGTTTTTAAAAACCTCTCATTTCACTAGTTGATGATGACATCACAGCGATGGCAGATACACCAGCTGTTCACACGTATCACAAACATGACATTTAATTCTAATGATCTGCGAAAATGTAGTTACCATCGACAAATCGACGGATTCTGCGGTTCTGTAGTTTTAAGCTAAAACTACAAGCATGAATTACGTTGTATTTTTTGGTGTTTTGACCGTCGTAAATCTCTCAATGTTAACTGGGGTGAGTTTAAGTTCCGTTAGATTAATTTCACTTTAATCTAATTTTTTAGTTATTTATACATGAAAACTTGTAGCGTATAACTTTAGGAAACAACTTGTAATCAAGATATTTTTGTTATAGACAACAGCGTCTCACAGTGTAAGACACAGTGTAAGAAATCTTTTTGATAAGCTTTCTAGAGTAAGTATATGTTTCCTTTAAAATGATGTTCAATATTTAAAATATTTTATCGCTCTAACTACTTAGACAATAGGTTATTTATTGTTCAAATTATCGGATACGAAATTACAGTAAACCCGATTTGTATAAGAATGTGTGAATTACCTAATATATATTTTTGTCATTATTGTATAAGCTCATGGAATATTTTATGGCTTACGCCATTCAGAAATTAACCTACATCGAGCTCCATAAATTACCTTTGTTACTTGTTATCTACGCGAAAAAATGAACCTGACACAAGTCAGCAATCTATTTCCATTCTGTTACCAAATCTTATATTAAGCCAAATGATCAAAACACGTTTGACACAAATCTCAGGAACCTTGATATATACATCTCTTAAGTAATTTTGAAAACGGAATAATTAACTGGAAATCGCTTGCTGTGGAAGGTTACAAATAATTAGGACAAAAATATTTCACTCTAATTGGTTTAAATCTCCTGTTTCAGCTTCTAATCTACAGGCATCAATTGGTTAAAAAAGAAGCGGCTAATCACTTGAGGAATGAAGGTTCTTCCAGTCATCATGTTACCACAAATGGCGCAAACACAGACATTCCATTCGCAGTAATGGCCGGAAAAGGTATATTTTGGACAATTATATGTAGGCTAGACTAGTCATTAAGTTTGCCAGCGCATGATTCTGTATTGCAATGTTATATTTCATAAGTCCCGAAACTAACTTGCTTAGGGCTTTACTTTGAGAATACCATCTGGCGGATAAAGGCACAAAATTTGGAATGAAGGTACCTTAGGATACATGATAAATTTAACCTAGGAGCCCGCTTAAAGTCTTAACATTTTCCAACGGCATAACCATTGCACGCTGAGTAAATATGTTATAATACTGTAATGCATTTGCTGGCAATAAAAAATGTTAATAGTATGTTCAAAAATAAACTAGTCAAATTTGATCAAGTTTTTCTCCTTAAAAAGATTGTAGGAGAAGATTAAGCACAACAACGCTTTGAGACCTACAACAGTTTGTTAGGTCTACGATGGTTGTAATGTAATTGGCCATTTTTATGTTTTAAGAGTAAAGATTTGAAGGAATTTTAAAAAACCACGCTTTTTTATAACCTCACCTTGCTGGTTTACAAACTCATTTAAGTACAGCGAAAATAAAGATTTTACCCTCTAAACCAACCCCAAGGAGTAACTTACAAGTATGCCTCTACTGCATTTTAAATGTTTTTTTTTTTTTTCAATACAGGATGTACCCAAAACAGAGGTTCATTATAGTTATAGTTATAGTTCAAATCTCACAGAGTTCCCACATGTCATATTATACATAATTATAAAGCTATAGTTGATTTTAACATTTTGTTGACAATTTGTCAACTAAGAATTATTGTTCGTTGTTGAAGAAATATTGTCGCCAAAGACAACAATATTTTTAAATGTCAAAATATATTATATTTCTGAGACAGACTAAAGGCCAAAAATATTTAAAATCAATATTGGCTATATTTACCTTACAAGTGTATTAAGAGCGTTTTTACATCACGCAGGTGAATGTTGTGCAACTCGCTTATTTTCTCGTTCTAGAACCTGCCCCGTTGTCTTGGTTCTTGTTATCATGGAAACAACTATATAAACATTGGCCCAATTGAAATGTTACAACGGACTTCAAGCTCTCATTTTCTCGTTCTAGAAACTGCCCTGTTGTCTTGGTTCTTGTTATCATGGAAACAACTATATAAACATTGGCCCAATTGAAATGTTACAACGGACTTCAAGCTCTCATTTTCTCGTTCTAGAACCTGCCCTGTTGTCTTGGTTCTTGTTATCATGCAAACAACTATATAAACATTGGCCTAATTGAAATGTTACAACGGACTTCAAGCTCTCATTTTCTCGTTCTAGAACCTGCCCTGTTGTATTGGTTCTTGTTATCATGCAAACAACTATATAAACATTGGCCCAATTGAAATGTTACAACGGACTTCAAGCTCTCATTTTCTCGTTCTAGAACCTGCCCTGTTGTATTGGTTCTTGTTATCATGCAAACAACTATATAAACATTGGCCCAATTGAAATGTTACAACGGACTTCAAGCTCTCATTTTCTCGTTCTAGAACCTGCCCTGTTGTCTTAGTTCTTGTTATCATGCAAACAACTATATAAACATTGGCCTAATTGAAATGTTACAACGGACTTCAAGCTCTCACTTTCTCGTTCTAGAACCTGCCCTGTTGTCTTGGTTCTTGTTATCATGCAAACAACTATATAAACATTGGCCTAATTGAAATGTTACAAAACGACAGTCTATGCACCGTGAAGTATCATTGACATATTTCCATTTACTTTACATTTTGGTGATTTGCTTTCTCTTCGCTTTCATCAAGAATTTTTTACAATAGTTCCTGTGGTTGGGTTTTAAAATGTAAATTCAATGATTTCAGTGTCATAAAATGTCACGTTTACACTTGCTCTATTTATAGTTCTTGAACTTCGATGAATCTTTTGATTTATCCTTCCCACGCCAGTTTGAATAGAACCAAAATGCAGCACTATTCCATAACTAGAACCTGAAGTGAAAGTGGCTCTGCGCTCTATTCTAAATTACCTTTAAATAACTTGCTTTACTATTCGTGTTCAGCTCAATGGAAATGTTATCAAACTTTCGGTAAATTTTCAATTTCGGTAACTGAAATGATTACAAAGAAAAGAACAAGAGATGTGAGAATAGAATTTACCATCAGATCAGGCTTGATTTGTTCCAAATGATATATGCTTAGGAAGAGATTTTACCTTTAAATATTTTCTTCTTTGTATACTATAAATCTTGAGGTTTGAAATTTAGAGTTATTAAGAACAGCTATAGTGAAAAGTGAGGAAAACTTTTTTAAATACTTTGAGCGAGTAATAAACACTAAAAATAATTAAGAGCAAAAATAATAATTGAGTAGTTTTACGTTTCTTCAACATGAACACAGAACATAAACTAGGTGGCGTTCGCAGAGGCATCCACAAAATTGAGCGGAGTCATCGAGGGTTCATATTATATTGTTTTTGTCTTACTGCAGTAAAACAGTATTTTTTCATGCATGCGCTGCGGGTCTAAAGTAGCATTTTTAATATTTAGGGAGTAAAAATCGTTTTTAGCCTCTATGGAGTAAAAATCAGCTGTTGTCAACTCAGTTGTAAATTTCGATTGTAAACGATTGCATGTATCGAAAATATGTATCGATTTGTGCTTCGTAATCATTTTAACATGTTACAGTCTACAGTCTCTTCCCGTAGCATTTTAGCATTGCAGATACATTAATCCATTCCCAAACTCAACACTGCTCACCTTTACTACTTCCTTCACCACACCCTACGTCGTGGACCTGTTTCCCTCTCTTCCCATAGCATTTTAGGATTGCAGATACATTAATTTAATTGCCAAAGACAGTTCCCACACTCTGCGCTGTTAGCCTTACTACTTCCTTCACCATTTACTACGTCATTGGCCTGTTTCCTTCCTTTCTCATAGCATTTAAGTATTACAAATTCATTTATCCATCTGCTCAAACGGTTCCCCCACTCTGCACTGCCAGCTTTTACTACTTCCTTCACCACTTACGTCGTGGACCTGTATTCATCGCTTTCCATAGCATTTTAGTATTTTAGATACGTTAATCTAATTGCAACAAACATCCCCACTGTCCGTACTGCTAGACTTTACTACTTCTTTCACAATTTCCTATGTCTTGGGCATGCTTCCATCCCTTCTCATAGCATTTCAGCATTGCAGATACTGTACATTAAAACTGCTACAAACGGTTTCCAGTTCCCACACTCCACACTGCTCACCTTACTACTTCTTTCACCTGTTTCTACGTCGCGGATCTGTTTCCCTCTCTTCCCATAGCATTTTAAGATTGCAGATACCTGAATCTAATCGTCATAAACAGATCCCACACTCCGAACAGCTCGCCTTTACTACTTCCTTCGCCACTTCCCACATCGCGGACCTGTTTCCCTCCCTTTCCGTAGCATTTTAGGAACGTTGTGACCTTAATCTAATCGTCATAAACAGTTTCCATACTCCAGACTGTTCACCTTTACTACTTCCTTAACCTCTTCATACGTCACGAACCTCAAGCTAGTGTCGTCATTTGATTATAGTACCTGGGGACCGAGCTTTGCTCGGGGAAAATCATTAGTTCACTCTGAAAGCACCGTAGTATTGGAGATGCATAAATTCACACATCTACATCCTACACAATTTCCTACGTCATGGATCTGTTTCCCTCCATTCCATTGCATTTAAAGATTGCAGATACCTTAATCTAATCGTCATAAACAGTTCCCACACTCCGGACTACTCGCCTTGACTACTTCCTTCACCACTTCCTACGTCGCGGACCTGTTTTCCTCCCTTCCCATAGCATTAGGATTGCAAATACCTTAATCTAATCGTCATAAACAGTTCCCACACTCCGGACAGCTCACCTTGACTACTTCCTTCATCACTTCCTACGTTGCGGACCTGTTTTCCTCCCTTCCCGTAACATTTTAGGTTTGCTGATACCATAATCTAATTGTCATAAACATTTCAAACACTCCGGACAACTCGCCTAGACTACTTCCTTCACCACTTCCTACGTCGCGGACCTATTTTCCTCCCTTTCCATAGCATTTTAGAATTGCAAATACCTTAATCTAATCGTCATAAACAGTCCCCACACTCCGGACAGCTCACCTTGACTACTTCCTTCATCACTTCCTACGTCGCGGACCTGTTTTCCTCCCTTCCCGTAGCATTTTAGGTTTGCTGATACCTTAATCTAATTGTCATAAACATTTCCAACACTCCGGACAACTCGCCTAGACTACTTCCTTCACCACTTCCTACGTCGCGGACCTATTTTCCTCCCTTTCCATAGCATTTTAGGATTGCAAATACCTTAATCTAATCATCATAAACAGTTCCCACGCTCCAGACAGCTCGCCTTGACTACTTCCTTCACCACTTCTTACGTCACGGACCTGTTTCCCTCCCTTCCCATAGCATTTTAGGATTGCCCATACCCTTATCTAATCGCCATAAACAGTTCCCTCACTCCTGACAGCTCGCCTTGACTACTTCCTTCACCACTTCCTACGTCGCGGACCTGTTTCCCTCCCTTCCTATTGCACTTAAAGATTGCAGATACCTTATTCTAATCGTCATAAACAGTTCCCGCACTCCGGACTACTCGCCTTGACTACTTCCTTCACCACTTCCTACGTCGCGGACCTGTTTTCCTCCCTTCCCATAGCATTTTAGGATTGCAGATACCCTAATCTTATCGTCATAAACAGTCCCCACACTCCGGACTGCTCGCATTTACTACTTCCTTCATCACTTCCTACGTCACGGACCTGTTTCCCTCTATTCCCATAGCATTTTATGATTGCCTATACTACTTCCTTCACTACTTCCTACGTCACGGACCTGTTTCCTTCCCTTCCCATAGCATTTTAGGATTGCAGATACCTTAATGTATTCGTCATAAACAGATCCTAGACTTCGCACTGCTACCACAGACAATAAAGTATTATATTGTCTGTGCTGCTACCCTTGACTGCAATGTATCGAGTTATCTTAAGTATAATCTGTGCTCAATATTAACAAGTGGTGTTTTTCCTTTTGTACTGTATTTGTAATTTCCTAGTATACTGTGGGTAGTTGGCTTATTATGAGCACATGCTAAAACTTCAAATCTTTTGTTTACTTTTTACTTGTTATTTAATTCAGCCAACATGGTTACCTAGCAACCCATAAGACTAATGTTAAAAAAATGTGATTTTCAGTTTCATTTTTCTACGGATTCCTGAGAGACTTTTTTAACGCTATATAGATGTTGGCACTCACCGATATGGTCTTTATCACCATGCAAAATTTGAAAACGATTGATTCAGCCGTCTAGGAGGAGTTTGCGTATTACGAAATGCATAAAAGTCGACGTATAAGAGCTTCGCTCGCTCCGCTCAACAAAACAAATAATATTAAAAAAACCACATGTTAATGTGTTAAACCTAAAACATGTGTTGGAGCCAGGCCAAAGACGACAATATTTAAATGTCAAAATATATTATATTTATTTCTGAGACAGACTAAAGGCAAAAATATTTTTAATCAATATTAGCTATTTACCTTACAAGTGTAGTAAGAGCGTTTTTACATCACGCAGGTGAATGTTGTGCAACAAGCGGAAGCGAGTTGTATAATTCACCTAAGTGATGTAAACACGCTCTTGCGTAATGTGTAACGTACAAGATTTTACCTGACCCGACAATATACAGGGGGTTACGTACAATATTTTTCATTATCCATTTCACTCATCTTCTAACAGTAACGTTCTTTTACAAAAGCATAACAAAATTCAAGCGTACAGCTGATTTCTAGCGTAGAACGTCGTTGGCTCCATAGAAGTATATTTTTTCAACTTGAGCACTCAATGTTATAATGGGTTTCATTACTTCACCAAGTGAGTTTTTGAAACATTACTTCACTCGTGAAGTAAAGAAGATGTATACATCACGCTTGGGATAGGGAAGTTTAACATGGTGGGTTAGGTAAAATACTTAATAGTAACTCAAATTAATTATTTCCAGTTTACAAAGTCGACGCCTTCGAGAAAGATGACAAAGGAAAGAAGTTGATTTCCATAGCAGCTACGAAGAGAAAATTCAAGATGGCGTGTCTCCCTTTGCCAGAGGCTCGGCAACATTGTGCTTCCAAGACGAAGGAAACTCATCTGCATTACGTAGAACTTCTAGATGGACCGGACATGTTTGAGGCTTACTGTACTTCGGACCCCTCCGTCGTCCTGGACAACGTCAAACACCTCTGCTCGAGCTATTCCTGTGGCAATAGCAACGCATGCACAATGGTATACCTGTTTAAAATCAGAGTGAACAAAGGGGATAAAGAAGAATGCAAGATTAAGGGCTTCGCTTCGCTGAACGGTGGATCCCAAAATCATGGTGAAGACGATTGCCCAACACAGTCACAAAGTTCATCATTGTTGGACGAATGCAAGGCAAAGTAAGTAGGAAGGTGAAAAGTTGTCAGTAGAGTGAGTAAAATGTCAGGAAGAATAAACATGATATCTGTTTACTAGCTTTAATAACTGTGGTCATGTATCTATAAAGGTATTTACCTACGAATATTGAACCGTGACAATTACTTGAGAGTTGAATTACATTAGTCATTAAATAGTAAATACTAATTACATTTGAAAAAAACTACTATAATTGTACTTCTTTTGCATGAAAATCTTGAAAAATCTACATGTAAAATAGAGATATTTATAACTTTATGAGTACATTAAATTAGTTCAGTGTAATATTTGGGTATTTACATTTTATATCTTTAAATTAGGCAAACCTGGCTACTGACCCTTATTTTACCTCGTCAAAACTACAAATCGTGATAGTTCATTATTTTGCATACAATCTTTTTGAACTCGGTGTCGTTTGATAGATAACTAGAGGTCGTCCAGTGGTCGAAAACTCGACCAAAAATATGTAATGTATAAACTTCTCTATTTTTCCCACGCTGTAAATAAAACATGTGATTAGAATTTATTCCATTTGTTTAGATGTTCTGTAAATATTTTTTGTTATTTCGTCACCATCATGGCAACCCATAAGGCCCTTGTTAATTTTTGTTTAGTTTCAAATTTGTCTTTGTGCTTATTTTTGAGCCTATTTTAATTTATAAAGATTTTAAAGAAACATGCTTGCCTACAATATACAGATTTAAAGAGCAAAATAAAGTATTCTTGACAATTTTTCATAAAGCCAGCCAGTTTTTGGACCGGTAATTTTAAATTTAAAATTGTAATGAACGCAATTTTGGAATTTTGAATTATACTAAGTTCTAATATTTTTTTTCAGAATTAAGTATCTTCAAGCACATACATGTATACATATATATGTATATATACATACATATACATGTATACATATACATATACACATATACATACCAAGTTTCATAAAAATCAGTCTAAACAATCTAAAGATAAAAAGGATTTGTAAAAAATACAAAATAGTGGATATATGATTAACAAAGTGATTTTGGCAAAATGCTATTCTTTATTTTCTTTTTTTTTACCAATACAACAATTCCCTGGAGTTTTTCTAGTTGAAACAGGAAACCCTGTATAGATGCAAACAAAGAAAATCTATGAAGAGGATCAACAGTTTAACGAGAAATTAAACAAACAGTAACAAAACAATACAAATGTAATTGCTGACGCTTATGCAATATTTTAAAATGTTACTAAAACAACCATTTAGTTATAGTTCTTGCCCTTAGGAAAACTAATATTTTGTCCCAGAGTTCTTCCTATGAAAACTTGTTCTTGGCCCTTACTAGAAATCCTTTATTGCATTTTCAAAAGCTCCCGTTTTTCCCCACCTGTGATTTTCTAATGTAGTATACAAATAGCGATAAACTATTGACAATTTCAATAGATATCATGGTATAAATTTTTTCCAGGAATGGTATGCTCAGTCCTGAAGATATGGCATGGAATAAAGAAGCAAATATTGAATCTTTATGTAAAGTAGAAGATGCCCCTGCTACTAACTCTGCTCCTGAACCAGCACCGGCTGTGGGAATGTCTTAACCAACCGATTAGAGGAAATGAGTCAACCATGTCTTAGTTTTGAAGATAAAAAGACAAAAATTTGAATTTGCCATTTTTAATTTAATTACAACCATCCTTTATCCTATTATCTAATATTAGGCAAATATTCCTGTAGAAAAGTAGCTATCAATGTTATTATTCTATTCTTCACATAAACGGTTGGAAAAGTAAAAACAATTGTCGTAAAACTGAAAGTTTAACTAAATGTTTGTAAGCTATACATCCCAAAAGAGGAGAAAGAATGCAATTAACCAGGATTCAAAGCCAATTCTCGCTATCTGGACTTGTACAGTAATCCAACCAACGATTCCATTATGTTCCTGTCTCTTTTGTTTCCTGCAGCCCAAAATGTGTTTCTTAAATGTGAATCGGATTGCATCTAATAAAAACAGAATATTAATTTTCCATCTATTGTTTAACACAAAATATTTTTTCTTCAATCCTTTCATAGCATTTGGAAAATGCATTATATGATGATTATATCCTAGGAGTATACTTTGGAAAATAAAATAAATTCACAGAAAAATAATAAATGCAAACGACAGCATTTATATTCTTTGATTCCATTGAAATAATTATTTTTAGTAAATTATATAAATCACGTTTAGACTTTAAATACGACTCAACACCATTTTATATGTTATCTTACTAATATTACAAATGTGAAAGTTTGTGTGTTTGTTTGTTTGAAGTTCAATTACGCATTAACTACTTGAGGATTGGGCTGAAATTTGGCACATTATAGCTCGATTAACATATAGGCCTATCCTTATCTCAAAAATCCTTTCAGGCTCCGCCCCAGTGGCACTGTAGTTCCCCATGTTAACCTTATGAGTATACATTTAAAAGGTTACCTAACCCGCCATGTTAAACTTCCCTATCCCAAGCGTGATGTATATAACTTCGTTACTTCTCGAGTGATGTAAAGTTGAAAAAACTCACTCGGTGATGTAATGAAACCCATTTAAATAACATTGAGTGCTTAACTTAAAAAATATACCTCTATGGAGCCAACGACTTTCAACGCTAGAAATCAGCTGTGCGCTTGAATTTTATTGTTATGTTTTGAAGAATTTTCTTAACCTAGCTTTTGTTTGTAAATGAACGTTACTGATAGAAGATGAGTGAAATGGATAATGAAAAATATTGTTCGTAACCTCCTGTACATTGTCGGGTCAGGTAAAATCTTGTACGTTACACGTTACGCAAGAGCGTGTTTACATCACTTCGGTAAATTATGCAACGAGCGGAAGCGATTTTATATTACATTCACCTGCGTGATGTAAAAACGCTCTTACTACACTTGTAAGGTAATAGCTAGGGTAATAGCTGTAGGTATTAATCAGCTGTTCCAACTTAACAAGCTGGTTCTTGAAGAGTGTATTAGAAGAGCCGATACAACTATGAAAGAACTAGGTACACTTTTTAGAAGATGAAGAGTCTTAATTAAATTAATGAATAATTTGTTAAATTGCGTGTGAATGTTTGGTGATTTGTTCTATTGTTTAGTTGCAGTGGTAGAACATTATGGCTATATGGTAGATGTGTTATACTATAGGGTACCACAAATTTTAAGAACTGAATTTTATCTAAATGTGTTCTCTCCCATTGCAAACGCAAAGCTTGAGTATAACTGCAATAAGCATTTGATACTTATAATATCAATAATTATTTTGTCTGCAATAAGCATTTGATACTTATATGCCAACCCCATACGAAGGATGGGTACTCTGCTGCTATTTTATAGTTTTATTTATTTTTGTGGTCCTCCATAGTTTGACATTGTTAGCGTTACAGTAAAAAAAAAATATTCTATTTTATTATTATATACACAAATCTTCATTGAATAATCTACCAATGATAACAAAATACCATTATCTGCTTTACAGTTCATGAATTAGTTACTTATATACTACTGCTAAATGTGAAATTTTATTTCAGGTAAATTAATAAACGGTATCAGCAATTTGACACCTACTATCCCCCATTAAATAGCCAACAACCTTTATTATACGTAAACAGTGGGAGTAACTATATTTTATGGTGAAAATCACAAAAGTTGCAATAACTTTTGAATCATAATTTTTACAGCCATTTGGTTTATGCCATTTTGTTTGGAAATATGGACCATATACAGAATTTTTATCAAAATCTGTAAAGCCATTGTTTTATTTTATACCTTGTTGATTTATGGAAAGCCCTTGTTTAATCAGCTTGAAAATTATTTTCCATTGGTGCGTAATTTCCCTTGTATGTGGTTATATTAAATCTCCTTTGGCAATATTTTTTTGGGGTGGAATATACAGTTTTTCACCCTAGGCCTTTTTCCATACCTCGGGTTCATTTTTCACATTACTTCAGACTTGACCTAGGGGTTGCCCCATTTTCACTTATATCAAATTGATTGGCGGGATTGAACCTGGGATCTTGGGGATTTAAGTCCCTCACTCTACCACTAGACCAGCTCGCTACGAGTGAAATCAACATGTGACTTGACAAACTCAAGAATATTTAATAATGATATTATTCCTTTCAGTACTATTTTTTCTGCAAGTGGACAATTTTTATAGTGAGAAAGGTATATATCTGATAATGATATCCTCGACTACAGCTGATTCTTTTTTATCAATTGATTGAAAGAATCTCTTTAGCCCCACAACGCATCTTGTGCAGTTGCTACCAATCGACCACTTTTGCAGGAGTATAAACCAAAATTAGGTTTCTTTGGATTATTAATGACAACAAAATGTAATTTAACAGTTTTATTTTATACACTTGATTAAAATGCTACATGTGCATACACTTGAACGCAGGACCAAATGTTTTTGTTAATGAAGCTTTATTTACATAATATCCTTTATAGTTTATAGTATCTCGTTTTATTTTAATAAAGGTTAAAAACTCTTAAGTAACATCTTGTATGTAACATTACATCTTTTTGGAAAAATATTGTTTTCTTCAAAGCATAATGGGTATAATTTAAAAAAATATTTAATTTGCAAATTATTTGATTCTTACAACAAGTTACAATGTTGAACAGCTAAAAATTTTAATCATTAAAGTCAAGTTAACTTGATAACATATTAAAATAGAAAATAAACACCCTATATAGATAAACTCTAGCTAAACTCTTAACTACTTAACACAAACAATATATTGCAATACAATGGATAACAACTGAATAATATATCAGTTTGATGAATAGTATTCAAATCCACCAATTATACGAGTGACACTAATGCCCTTGGATTAAATAAGGTGATTAATAGAGTCTGAAAAAATAACAGAGGTATGAAATTAACCAAGAGAACAAATAAATGCTACACAGACTTAAACCATAAAAGTAATGCGAGGAAACGGTAATTACATCATTGACACTACGTAAATGCAAAAGCTTAATCCCATAACTTTAGAAACAATTCTCTACCCCAAAAAATCTGACAAAACACTAAGACAAAATTCCTCGCCACAGCCATGTTTTACAACATTAACCAGTATCACATAAAACTCACTAAAGACCACAGAAGCGTTTGTCTAATGGAAAAATAATTAACTCGGAAATCGCCATCACCACAGACAATCTTATAAACAACTTCAGTTATACAAGTACTTAAACAATAGGACTATACGTTACTTAAAATTACATGAAAGAATACGTTGTGTGTTAAAATATATCGTGGATTGTTGCTTAATCAATGTTCAAGTCGTGGCCCCCACCAGTGGAGCAGATGACTCCGATCACTTGGCTTATATCGTTGTTGAAGCGCTTGAGAAGACGGGCATTGCGCTCAAGGTTGTTGAACCCCATCTCCACCAACACAGCCATGTTGTTCTCAAACACTGGGTCAAACTCCTGCGAATGTCAGAAGACATTAGAGGTGGGCATAATTTAAAGTAACTTCCCGAGGTCGTTGATGAAGCTCCAGCTAAATACCGCTAAGATTACCGAACGTATTTGACCGGCGACGCTGTGGCATGTCTTTAAAAAAGCAGAGAAGAGTACTAAAGAAGTGTGTATTAAAAAAGCCAGCAATAGTGAAACAAAATAAAAAAAACTAATTTAGCCATGTAATCGCACACAAGGAGCTATGGAACTTTCATGACTATTATTGCAAAGTTAATGGTATTTTCCATCTTTAACATTGTTGATTCATAGGTCTGATAGTGATTGGTACCCAAGCAGTCCAAGATACGTTGTCTTCCCAGGATACAGAACATCTTAAGTTTGAATCCCATCTTAACAAGTTTACCGCTAACAAATTTATGCTGATAAAAATACATAAAACACCAAAAGTTTTCAAAACTACTAGCTCCTTTTCCAATCACAGATTCATTATACTGCCTATTGTAGGAAGGAGGTATAATAATAAATGATCAACTGGAGAAGGAGCTAGGAGTTTTAAAAACTCTTCCTACCTTCATGATAGAAGTTTCTAGTATTAATTATATTTTAAAGGAAAGCTTATTGGCTAAGGATTTTTTTTTTAATAGAGTTCAATCTAAGAAAATTATTGTCCCGGGGAAGGAAAATTTTCTTCTCTTCAACCTACTCTGAAAAAATCAGGACAAAACGTTTCAGTATCAAGTAAAGTTACTGTATAAGTAGAAGAGTATCAGTATAAAGTTTTGTTTTCATTCATTGTGTAACTATTACTCCCTGGAATAATTTTCTCAGATGCTAGTTGAACTCTATTCCTTTGGTATTAATTTAATTACCTAGCAAACAATCCCATTATAAATCAAACTTAGGTAAGCCATTACAATATTCAAACCAATCTATCTAGCTTAATACATACCGCAGCTTCTCCCTCTTTTGGACGAAGGTTGTTGAGGGCGTTCCAGGCTGTGGAGTAGGCAGTGGCGGCTACGTTAATAGCCCCATCCACCAGCGACTGAGGCAGGATCTGGACCGGGTTGGATGTTTGGGCTTGGGTTTCCTCTTCAGGATTGGGAGTTGCAGCGTCTGTCTGAGGTTCTTGCTGCTGCTCCTGTTCAACTTCAGCCGTAGTTGGCACAGTCGCAGCAGGGTTTTCTGGTGCTGTTAT